TCTCTCTCTCTCTCTCTCTCTCTCTCTTTCTCTCTCTTTCTCTCTCTCTCTCTTTCTCTCTCACTCTCTCTCTGCAATGAACAACTGTTTAGCAACAAGATGACGAAAAGACTGCAAAAAACACAAAAAAACAACAACAATAAAACAAACAACATCCGTGACAGGCGCGAATGGTTTCTCCTTCATTCATTAATCCTGGTTAAAAGCAAATTATGTAGCTTCCGAAAAAAACCCTCCTTTCTTCTCACCCAGTTTGCAGCTGAGGGTTGATGAACATTTGTGTGTGGTCTGCTCTTCCTGCTTCCCTTCATAGTAATATTATTAATATTATTGTTTGTGAGTGTAAGCTTACTCTTGTCATTTTATGATCATGTGCACAGATGTGTGTGACTCAGGTTGCCTAGGGCTGGCCACATCGGCAGAATGAAGGACAGCAGATGGTCCAAAAAATGTACGGAATGAAGACTAAGAAGAGGAAAAAGACCAAGAGGTAGACCAGAAAGAAGATGGCAAGACGACATCAAAGAGAGGATGGGTGCAAACTGGACACGGAAAACAGCTGATGAAACGATTGATGGAAGTCGTTGTTGGAGGGCTACAACAACTGGAAAGTAAGAAAGAAAGAAAGAAAGACAGAGAGATAGATAGATAGAAAGGAAAAAAAAAAGAAAGAAGGAAAGAGAAGAAAAAGAAAAAAGGAAAGAAAGAAAGAAAGAAAGAAAGAAGGAAAGAGAGAAAGAAAAAACTGATTGTGAGTGGGTGGACACTGGCTGGCAGGTGCACTGGTGTACTTTGCTCCTTCTTTCCTACCCAACATCTATCGTCACTATCCTTCCTTTCCTTTCGTGACTTGTTACTCTCTTGTACTTGTAACGACAACAAATGCAGGGCCTACAATTTCTAAACTGCGAAACGAAAAATAAACGATCAGAGATTGTTGGTCTGCTTGGTCCAACTTCCGGTACATAACAAACCAGCTGGCTGCTGTTCCCACCAATTGGTCAATTCTGTCCAGTTTTATAATTTTAGGTCAGTTTTGTTAAACAAACAAAAATTTACGTTAGAAATTGTAAGGCAAAAAAAAAGAGAAAAAAGAAAGTGCTTCGGACGACTCCGGACGGCGATTACATGACAGGACCGCCATAAAATTTGCGCAGTGCGAATGGCAATTTTTATTATTTCAACTCTGTCTGTCTGTCTGTCTGTCTGTCTGTCTGTCTGTCTGTCTATCTGTCTGTCTATCTGTCTGTCTG